CAAAGGCACTTTTTCCAACATATGCAACTGTCGAAGGGACAGACACTTCTACAAGATTCGAACAGCCAAGAAATGCCATGTTTCCTATGACCTCAGTTCTCGATGGAAGCCGAACGAGCGTCACAGACGAACAGTAATAAAAAGCCGAAAATCCAATCTCGACAAGGCTTTCCGAGAACTCGACATCTGTCAGGCCCTTACACCGAGCGAAGGCGCTTGGTTCGATTCTCTTGACGGACGGGTCGATTCTGACTCGAGTGACATCCTTGGGGACCTTTTGATTGCCACCCAAGTAGACAAAAACGGCATCATCATCCGTGGTATTATCCGTTGGTGATTGCACTGTTGCGTTCGATTTGGTAATGGATGATTCGGCATTATTTTTCTTTTCGTCCTGAGGCTGACGTTTTTTCCATGATGGGGACAGTGCAGAAGATACGAAAGAAGTCATGGATGTCCATGTCCTAGATTTTTCTTTCACTCGTTTTTCAGTGGTATTGTTTGTCGTTTCTGTGATTGCTGACGCGGCATCAACTATTTCGGCAGCAGGCTCTACCTCCTTTTCCATACTCTCAGCATTTTCTGGAGTAGTCGTCTTCTGTGCAATTTCTTGTTCGGTACTTTCAGGTACGATATTCTTGCCCACAGATTCAACAGAAACCGGTATCTTGATAACATCCAACTTGTTACTGTTCGCAAAAGCACCATCGTCGATTCGAACAAGCCCTTCAGACAGTGATAGTATCATTAGCTCATCACATTTTGCAAAAGCTTTCTTTCCCACAACTCCCACAGTCGCTGGCAGGTTCACTTCTTCAAGACTCGAACACCGAGAGAACGCTTCGACCTTGATTTGTTCTAGTCCATCATTGAACACGACATCCTTCAGCTTGATGCAGCCTGCAAACGCCATGTTACCAATGACAAGAGTCGTCGATGGAAGACGAACAAACTCCAGAGACGAACAACAGTAGAATGCTGAAAATCCAATTTCTTCCAAACCTTCCGAGAAGTCCACGTCGATCAAATTTTTACACCGAGCGAAAGCACTTCGCTCAATTTTCTTGCAGGAGGGATCGATTTTGACCCGAATGACATCCTTGGGGACCTTCTGATTACCGCCCTTGTACACAAATACAGAACTGTCTGTTGCAATACACATGGTGTTTCGTCAAGAATGTGCCACATTTGTGCTGTAGGATGGCTTTTTGGTATTTTTCAGACTTCAAGTGCTAATTCTATTTTGTTTTCTCATTGGTCTTTCAATTTCCCATTTATATCTGACGTTGCTTCACTCTTCACAGTTCTCATAAAATTTAAATCTAACAAATACACGTAGATCTGTACTTGCTCACCAACATCCATAGCTTAGAGGTGAAAACGGAGGGATGTGATGACGTGAGCGCAACCTCTCTTGTTAGTTACGGCAGCATTTTCCGGCAACACATTTTTCCGGCAACACATTTTTCCTTCAATGAGGGAAAAGGATACGAGTGCTGTGCTGTAATAATAAAAATATAGTAGTACGTAGCTATCCATACCATACGAATAGTTTTTTGAAAAGTGTATCTAAAGTATATCATCATAATTTTAATAAAAACAAGAAGCAAGTATCCATCCAAATCATCGCTTCTTTAGCCCAACTCCATTTAGCCCTAATTGCCCCTTGGCTGAAGCATTGGAAAGTGCAAAATAATGTATTTGACACCTTTCCGGTTTGCCAGGAACCACTCCGTTCCATTCCTGCCCCAGCCACTTTCTCTACATAACAAAATACCTCCTTTTTATTGCTATTGTCTTCCAGCACCCGTATTTTGTCTCTTTTGCTGTCGGTTGCTACCTGGCAAAAATCCCAATCCCAGCATGCGTCGTCTTTTATGGCTAGAAGAAACTGGGGTGGTCTCTTCGACATCTCCAGGCAATACATTGGTAGAACTGGCCGTAATGGAAACGGACTCTTGAAAGGCAGCTGGCACAGCGTCATCGTCTTCATTCCCACCGTCCTCCATGTGACTCAGAGCACTTGCAGTAGTCTTGGAGTCGTCATCATCATCGTCGTCATCATCGTCAGATTGAGCCATAGGCCGATCTGGAAAGGTCGCCGCATTGTGATGCGAATGTCCCAATGCCGCAGCCGAGGCCATGGCCATACTAGCCAAGTTCGTGTGATCCGATTTTGATAGTCCTGCCGATGCAGGTGTTTGAATGGATGATGGTAACGCTTCCAATAATCGTTTCTTTTGTCGCAATTGTTGCAGTCGTGACATGGAAGATTGCCGCATGGGCGGTTGACGACCATTGTCTTCTTCTTCTTCCTGCTCCATGTCTTGGCCTTCACTCTTGCTCAAGTCCACAGCAGGCGTACCTTCTACTTGCAAGGTAGGCTGCCTCAAAATACTTCGCATATCCAGTGAACGATTGGATTCGGGGGCATTGTCTTCCATTTCATCCTCCTCCAGCAACAAATTCTCGGCATCTTCCAAGTCGTACTTGTCGGCGCTTGCGGGAGTTTCATGTCTCAATTCATGAATCCAAAGTTCTTCAATGCTATCTCGAGACGATCGAGAAGCCTTGCTTAACATGGCGGAACTCTCCTTGGACTTGACCGAGGCGGCTTCGTCGGCCATGGAAGCTTCGGAAGTATTGCGAATGACTGCTGCTTGGGAAACTGAAGTGGAAGTCTTTGGGGAAGACGTACTCTTTTGTGACGAAGTACTCTTGGGGGAAGAGGAAGTCTCGGGAGAGTCTTTCGTCTCGGGGAAGTCTTCTGTCGCCATTGGTTGTTGAGGCTCTGTAGCCTCTTCGGGCTTGTCCTCCTCTGGCTTGTCCTCCTGTTGTTGCAACTTTTCCTTTTTGGTGGTTTCAACCTTCCTCTCCAGTTCGAGCTTGCGCTTGCGAATGGCTTCCTTTTTCTGACGCAAAATCTCTAGCCTCGACAACCTCTTTTCGGCTGGCTTTTCTTCCTCCAGTGGTGGTTCACTGTTTGTCACAGTAGGAGGATCTGAGAGCTGTGGTGTGGGTGGTGTTGCTGGTGTTGTTGCGCTGGGAGGCAATTTGTTTTTAGGAGCACCATTAGTAGGTGTAATTCCCATTCGTTGATTCAATTGCATCATTCTGGCCAACGCAGCGGGCGACAAGCCAGAGATAGGCACGCTGGAAGCCATTGGAGTGGAATACGCAGGTTTTGGTTGCAACAGACTCCGGATCAAACCTTCTTCGGCAATGGTAAGCTTCCGAGGCTCCACTTTGCTGATGGTAGTCATCACTCCGGAATTCACTCCACCATCAAAGTAATCCACGCCATCGACGCTTCCAGAATGATCTCCCATTCCTTCCGAGTCACCTGTGAGTCTTACTCCGATTGTATCATCCTTCTTGTAGACAATCACTCCAGTCATGCTTGGGAAGTTGCCATCAGGAGGAATTGTGACTCCATCGTATAGCTGCATTTTTGCTGGAGGTGAGCTGCTGAACTGCTGGACTGCCGGACTGCTGAACTGCTGACCTGAAGAGCCTACCTGTCCGTTTCCTTAAGGTGCAACAGGTACGATTCACTGGGCTGTGCAATAAGTATCCGTAGGTTCAGCTAGAGTAGTATAGCTGTAGCTAGGGTAGGGTAGCTGTATGTTATATGTGCAATTGTCTTCCGAGTGCCGATTTGAGTGTTGGATGGATGGATTGATGATTCATTCATCCAGGCAGCACGAGAAGTAAGTCACCTTTGTCAGAATGCGATCCGGGCAAGAAAACGTAAGAAGTTTTGAAGTAATCTTTCGATCAGTCGTTTGTCAGTACTGCGCACTCTACGCGAGGCCTGCGCCCTGTTTTATTTAGGGAGGTCATAGACAAGGAAGGGAATCCGACACAAAACCCGGCAAACCTTCCGTAAAACTATCGTAAAACGAGTGTGACGATCGTCCAAGCAGGCTACCATTGGATATATTTGGTCGCTCGGACTTTTCCCGCCATCCAAGAGCCGTTAAAAACATGGCGATCATTCAAGACTCAACGGTCCAGTCGTGGAAGGTATCAGCGAAATAGAGGAAATGAGAGGGGGAGAACAAGTTGAAACCGACTGCGACTGCGACTACTCCCTTGGGTGCTTCTGTTCTCAGAGTTCGAAGGGCTATTTACATTGCATCTAATACACTTATGTTCATTAGTCTACATTTTTATCTATTACTAAATCAATCATTCCAAGAGCCTAGGTACATAAATACGCCCTTGGACTCCCTTGCTCCTGCGCCCAACCACACACGCATCCACCCCCATCAAGCAAGAACTCCTTCTTCTCGTCCAGCATCCCTCTGGCAATTGAAATCCTACTAGTATGATATCCTAGCATTGTCATCAGCACTACGCCATATCGTCAGTTAGATTGAGTCTGTCTTGATTCGGCACTGGTCCAAACAATACTACTCTCATGGCTCGTTGGTGTCGTGGTTTGCAAAACGCTGTCCATCTCGTTACGTACTCCAATTGAATGTTGTGTGGCAAAAACTGGATTTCGTAGGTCTGAACGATCTTTCCAATTTCTTCGTCCAGTCGTTGATTGCGCTTGATAATGTAGACATGACCGGCCAAATTAATCAAAATCACAGGAAAGGTCAAGATTTGGACCCATAGTATTCTCCCTCCAATTCCAATCAACAAACACATGACCAATACTACAATGTAAAGCAAATACATCCACCCAATGTATTCATTTAGTTTGCTGACTGGTACTTTCATTGCATTCGAGAAATTGTCCCAAAGAGCGTCATCTTTCAAGCCAACGGGCTTGGATTGGGGGTCCGTGGGAAAGCCGTTGGCCTTTCGGAAATCCGAAAACATGGTGGGTTCCGAAATCCAAATGGCGGGATAGTTGAGAGGATTCAGTTCTTCCTTGGAAGTGGTTAGGCCCATTTTTTGACGAAGACGGCTTTATAAGAGGCGGTAACACAAGGCTGTATTGCAGTAGGATGGCAAGCAATCGCTTCTTTCTTTCTATGGACGCAAATTTTATTTGGTTTGTTGGTTCTACCGGTAGAGATATACGAGTATATACAGAACATTTGGTTGAGTCGAAGTTTTCGACGAAATTGAGACCCAACTCCCGACAATGACTCGACTGCACGCACTACATTTGGATAAACGCAGTGTACCGATGATACTGTCGAAGGAGTACTATGACTGCAGTTCGACATTTTCCGTCGCCAACAAATCATTGCGAGATATATTACTATTGGTCTCTTTCCGGGAGCATAATCTGATTCGTAGTAATAAGCCGTTCCAAACTACAACCTAGGAAGAAGAATGTGCTTGCTGGCTGCCTGGTGTCGTGTAACTACTATTTTGATTGTACTAGTATGAAGAAAGTTGTTACTGGGAACAAGAAAGAATGCCTCCGGTCCAGAAAAAACTCAGTATCCGAACGTCCTCCAATGAAATCCTTGTCGCCAATGATGTGAAAAGTGCTGATCGCTCGGATTTTGCATCCTGCTGCCTGCTCTCCTTCTGGTTTGCTTGGAAGTGGTCAGCTCCTTTATTTTTCACGAACTTTCTTTGTCGTTGTTGTACCTTCTTAGAAAACAATGACGAGCCAGCTAGGGGTTTTAGATCTCGCTTTCTCTGCCGAAGCCGCGAGATGTCGTGATATCTAGAGCAACTACTAGACAGCAGCGTTCTCGAAATTCGCAGCTACATTGAATGATAGGTGATTCTGCCCTCAATCATTATACTTGTCTTCAATACTGCGAAAGACATCAAACATCTTTTCCACATCGCAAGTGATGTTACCGTGTAAACCTGTAGATACCCACCATCCATCATTCAATTTGCACGGAAAGTGGTGGTTATCATATCTGCCTTCGTACGGTTTTTGATTCTGGCTGAAAATGATTCCTTCGCTTGCAATAGATGCCGATATCGAAAAGGATGATTCGTGTACGAAAAGCACCCTGGCCTTTGCCAAGGTGAGCCAGACATCAGCAGCGTCGCCACCTTCGTGAACCCTGATCTCCTTAGATCTATTCAATTGCATCAAAAAGTCACTTGCTTCGTTCGAGTTTTCTGTAAAGATATCGAGTGCAACATTATTCCCAAACACCTCATCAATGACTTTTGCATAAGTTTTCGATATGGGGCGAGGGAAATCACCTTTTCGAATGTGGATGGCAACATCCAGGGTCGGTATTTTCTTCTTGGCTGTTATCTTCTTCACAACGTCTACCCATATCCGCGCTACTGTCATTCGGGCCTCGTCACAACTGCGACACGGAACATAGCTGTATCTTTTCTCTCCGCCAGCCCTTGCCACGCCTCTCCATAGTCGGGTCGAGTCAAACATGTGTATCGTCTTATTCGAAAAATTAGGATCGATACCAGGCCATTGTCGGCTGAGAGTATTGTAGATTGCCGGGCATGATTTGCATCCATGATCAAACTGATGGTGGTCTCCATCATAGTAAACTATTCCCAAAAAGCACATTTGATTCCGGTTCAGAAGGTGATAGACCATCGCAGCCGCAATATCACTTAGCTGGTGACCAAATCCGTCCCCATAGTTATGATGCACGAAGTATTCAAGACAGTCTTTTCCGCCTGCAGCTTTGCTGCGAACATCCCATGGAATGATGTCACTGAGAGGGAAATCTTCGCTTGCTGTATAGGCAACTGGGTGATGTATGTCTCCTAGAGCTTGAGAGTAAGAGGTGTATTTCCTGAACATTATTCTTTTCTCTTCCCATGAAGGGGGGGCCACTTGTTTCAAATGTTGCTGTGGTGGCCCTGTTTTATTTCCTGTTAGTTTGATACCCGGTGCAAGCTTCTGCTTTCGTTTATTAGGTGTTATTCGCAGGTTCTTGTAGCATTCATATTCGCTGAAAGTTGTGATCCAATAACACAACAATGTTATCGTTACAGCCAATACACAGCATACGACTTTGATGATGATGGTTTCCCGCATTGCGTTTGAAATATAGATAGAAATTGTGGCATGAAGAAGTGCACGTCAGTCAACAGACATCCACGTAAGATATTGATGCAGTGACTAACTGCGTGTTGGCGAGGCTGCCGCTAAATGACATGGTCGCACGCATGCTTTTGGGCGAGCTAAGTACATATTTAGCCTTTATGACGACGTACGAACCATTTGCGGGTGTTTTGGGAATACCGGTACACGCCGCGTGTACCGACAATTTTGTGGATCGGGTATAATCGTCTCCAAATCGGCTGATTTCACCCATAAAAAAGGGAGCTAGATCCCTTCCATATTGCTGCTCGAGCCAAGTACATCCTTAAATCCATTCTCGCCGAATCCAGAACCAAAGCTGTTGTCGAGTCCATGAATCTTGTCTTCTTCGCTTAGAGATCTGGGCAGTGATACATTGATCATGGCCTTGCAATGGACAAAGGCATCCTTGCGAATCCGGGTTAGATGTGATCTTGACTCAACCGACCAAATAAGTGTTCGACTCCATCGACTGGTTCCAAAATGGATCCAAAATTGCGAAATTGGTACTTCGTCTACTGGAGTTCTACGGTAACAAATGGAAAAGACCCGTCTTTCAAGCATCAGAGCAACGGTTGTACGAGCACGAATATCAAAAGCAACGGTTGTATGTGAACGAATATTGGAATCACTACAGCCTTGTATATATTTGGAACAAACGATGCTGTGCCTTCGAGCAACGGTTGTCGACGCACTGCTGCATCTTTACAGTGGACTTCTACATCCCTTTCGAAGAGCATCGCTGAATTGATCACAAATTCATTTCAAATTCATTTCCGCTTCCAATCGTCGTCGACCTGCGATATTTGGCTTTGAGACAATGACTTCTTTTTCTCCTACCTATGATCACCTTGAAGCTAACATCAAGCAATATCTACCAGACCAGATTACACCGAACGATTACAGTAGGTGTCTTCGTCGAATGCACAATTCTGTGACTGACATCCAGAGGCGGGAGTTCGAAGCGGTCGTGCCAAAACTGAAGGCTTTTCAAGATAAAGCTGGGAAGCTCCTTCACTACACTTCTTGGCAGCTTGAGGACGAGCTCAAAAAATTGAACTCGATGGACGAGGCCTTCAGAAGTCAAAAGGAATTGCTGGAACAAAACCAGCGTGGGTTTGAGGTCGGGGCCTCCATGGTGGTCGGGCAAATTGAAGAAGTGCAAAAGGAGCTGGAGCAGCTCAAGCAAGATCTTTGTATTTACAAAGAGAACATGGCTGTCAACCAGTCGAAAATTGTCCACTGTGAATGTAATCTGTCGGACAATGACAAACAGGTTTCAGTTGTCCAAGGAGTCAAGTAAGTCTGCTTCTGCCTTCTGTTGATAGTTGCGTTGCTCAATGAATGATGATATGGCACTGACTGTAATGTATTCGTTCTCCTCAGGCATTTTCGCCCAGAAAATAGCCACCTCGAAAACAGTAACCTATTTCTAACTCAGCAATATCTGATTGGCCACAAGGCTGGTGTCTTTTCCGACATCTTCAGAAGCTGGAAATGGGATCAATTACAGAAGGCTGCAAGAAAGTTACAGTCTCTCGGGTTGTCCACCAACGAGCAATTTTTGGCTATTACAAAGCATACGCCTGCCTTCGAAAGAAAATACGGCTATGTCCAAACAGTCAGCAACGTCAGAGTCAAAGGCGGAAGACTCGATGAAGCGAAAGTGAAATTCGCTGCGATGCTAGGTCTGGCGATAGAAGAGTGTCCTGTGCTTTTGAGCTACCTCAAAGGTGATAGCCCAAGTCCCGATTTCGGTCAAATTGAAGTCCAGGCTGCCGGATATCTTCAGCCGCCTTCAGGCCACAAGCAACTCCAGTCGCCTTCTACCTGGGTCGCAAATGGGATGCTTTCTACCCCTGGCAATAACGCGACTGCGCTCACGCCAGGCCGCACTGATGGCGAAAAGTCGATCCAAGATCTGGCAAAGGAGATTGAAAGTCTCACGGCAAAGAAACGTGAACTTGAACGACAGCAAGAAATCTCACCCTCGAAGACCAAGAGACGCAGAGTCTCCACCTCCTCGTACCATACGTCACCATTGGGACAACGCAACCTCTCCCCCTCCTTTCAAAACTCGGCTGGAGACAGGGATGTCACTGGTGCTTGAGTCCTTCGAAAGTGGGGAATGGGACTTACTCCTGCAGCGGTATGGCTACGGAAATTGGGAGCCGAGAGTAAGTCTCACGGGGAAACAAACAACTGGGGATTGATGAATGAAACATCGAGGAATAAAACATTGAGGAAACCTTAGAGGTGTCGTTCAAAGGAAATTTGTCATGAAGCGATGAAAGCTTCATAATATGTAATGGCATATTCAATAGAGTAACTAAATTAGATAAAACAAAAGCTACGGCAAAGCAAAGTAGTTTGAAAATAAATAGCAGTCGACTAAACAGATGGTCGAATGAAGGAATCACTAGTGGTCTTGGTGGTCCGAAGCTAAGCTAATCGCTTCCATCATTTGGGCGTTAGACCAATCGAGTGATAGCAAAGCCAGCAAGATGAAACGGCGTCATTTTCTGCTCTCTTTTCATCTGCTGCTTCCAGATTCCTTCACCCCGCAACCCTCGTATCACTTCCATAGCCCTGGGTAGGCCGTCAAGAGATGGTTGCACGGACGGCAATCACTCCGTCTCTTGCTAAGATAAAACGAAGAGAAAGTAAAGGCTCCCAACATGCCAATTCCTTGTAGCAATAGAAAATAATGGATAGTGGTTGCTCGATACTCTAGCCATTCCGGCATGGCCTTTTGTGCCACCAACTCTTCCATCAATTCCTTTGTAATCGCCTCCGCATCCAGCATGGAAACGTGGGGATAAGAAGGCAATGATACATTGCTGTTGTTGTCCACCAAGTCCGAAACTTGTTGACGATACTTTGCATTTCGCTCGTCACTACCCATCAAGAGGGTAATATTCTTTCCTGTTGATTCCGTTCCATACAAGGAACATTTCAAATAGCTTTCCAAGTGCCTGGACTCGCTTTCGCAATTCGGTCCGAAAGGTATTCAGTGGAGCTATGGCTCCATTTCTTCTGGTGTTTGGGAGACATGCTGGTACCTTTGTCAACAGCGAAGGACGCATTCGATTGTGATAGGCCTGTTCGGGTCGTATAGTAGTTGCTTTATTCCTGCACCACCGAGGCCTGGCAGCCTATCGACCTTTCGTAAATCCGATTTGTGCAGAACTCGATGTACGGTATATTTCCGACAAAAAGCCTCCGTCGGGATCGTATTCGCGTTCCCAAGAATGTTGCTGCATCTGTTCGAAATTGTGGAGAAGATTGCTGGACTTGTTGGATATCAATAATGTTCTATCCGGATGCTTGATTGATTCAGTCCGAATCTATGACTTAGTTGCATACTCCTCGAAGCGCAAGGACCAAACATATGGGACTAGCTCATTGTTAAGTGGCTTTCCCCCTCCATGACGGCCATGAGCGGCCATGTGGACCTAAAGACCGATGGCAAACCGACTGAAGCAAAGATGAAAATCCAAGAACCTCTGCAACCGAAGCACATGAAGCAATCCAACAAGGCACTAACACAGTTCAGGCACCAATACAGCCCAATAATCCTGGGAACTTTACGTTACTGCATGTGGGGACCTTTTGTGGACCCCAAAGGACCACCCAACGCAGAACCAGTTGAACCATCACTGGTTGCTATGTGGTGTGAATCTTCTTTCCTTCTGGGGCCCATAATCTCATGCATGCCATGCCCATGCGCCATACTGTGATCGTGTTTCCGGCGAATTTTGCAACTTGGAGGTGGACTCGGTTCAAAATGGTTATGCACGAACCGTGAAGTCATCATTATTATTGTTATACCTCTTTACATGCTTCATCGCATTGTCATAATTGCTATCTCCTTTTCTCTTTTTTGCCTTTTATAATAATACTACAGTATTGACACGTTGGGAATCATAATCTGCACCTATTTAGCCAATGAGAGTTAGTCGATTGACTATTATTAGTTGTTGCATGAGCCAATCACAGCTCTCTATCACTACTGTAATGATGGATGATTCGACTAACTCTCTTCCACACTAAATTAGTACTCTCCACAGACTTCAAATGATGTTAGCGGGGGTATGGATGTTAGGTCCAAGCTCCATACGGCCCTAGCACTTTCTCTGTCTTATCAAACAACTAAACACCTTGTCTTAAGGACCCAATTTAGCCCTCGATCATGAGGAAGCGCTGTAGATCCCCTAGGATCACTTCTAGCTGCCCTGAAGATGTGATCATGGTGGTAGGTTGGCAACTAAAATTGGCTGGTACTACATGAGGTAATAGATAGATCCAACGATAGAAACTGATTTTTCAATCTTGCACATAGAGTAACGGTACTATTATGTATTGTCGAGTATCGTTCAGACTTCTCTGATGGCAGATTGAAATCAGCTGCTGATATTGGTATAAATAGTTTGTAGTAGGTCTCTTCACCTTTGGAATCAAGTCATTGTCTCAAACGGGTGCAAAAAGGTTGATTGCATTGTCGTCAGAGTAGAATATACAATACCCGAATCTGAAAGCATCATCTATGACTATACTGTATCAGACTTTCCTGTCGCGGCTTTTGCCAACAATGAACCATGAAAGGTTTCTGTCTATGTTTTCGACTGTGAATCTTACTCAAAACCGGTTGATTATTGCATGTGTTCAATCGTGGAACACGTCTTTACTCCATTTGCGATGACATCGGGCTTTGTGGTGGCCCTTACTCATCTTGCTTGGTTCCCAAAATGTTGAGTCCATTGAGGACACCGCCGATTATCTATCGAATCCAAGACTGGCTGGTTCTCGCAAGCCTCGCAAAAGTAAGCGTTTCAATGGTTTCATAGCAATAGTATAAGCTGCTAGAGTCAAGCAGTATTTCATGCCTTGATTCACCTGGCTTCCAAATGGTTTGTTGTCGAGACAATAAGATTGGGCTGCCGTCTTTACACTGACATCACTTTCATGCTTCCGACCTTGAAGTATTCGAGACACCAATAATCGCGGTGCGATGAGCCTCCGAGTTTCAATTTAATCTGCGATATGCAGGGATAGTAGATATTTTTATTGGCGTGGAGGTGCTTGGACATCATTTCAATACTGCTGTAGGCGGTTCATCAGACGCATCGATTATCACATCGAACATTTATGGATTGTTACCTCGTTCTAAATCCGTCTAAATCCTGGCTAACGCCAGGATCATAGCGCATGTCATCTTGCGACGCCATGTGTGAAACCAGCACTGTGTTGTAGAGCCCCTTCATTGCAATTCTATTGCTTTCTCTTCTTCTCTTCGCTCTTCGTTTAATCGAAGATTACCCGGCGCCGCCTCCACTCCATCGCATGATGTAGTCTTTGTCTGGAGAGATCGCGCACGTATGCTACCATGGAAACTGTGGCAAAAGCCTGATGCTACATACGAGAAGCGAGTAGGTTTGGCACAGTAGCGAGGTACTAAGTTAGTAACTGGTTTGCACCGAGGTCGAATCAATCATAGGATTCGAAAAGGGACAATCAATAGGATTGACAGACAGACCCGGACCAAATGGGGTACCGAGCTATGGTGCAAACGAGAGAGAGGGTGGTGAGGGCGGGAAAAAGCAAAAAAGCTGACGGTCTTGACCGAGCAGCTAAACTCCTTCTATCGCCTCCATCATCCCACAAGCTCCCATTGCGAACAATGTCTTCTCCAATCTTCCGTCCTCTTCGTCGACACTCTTCGCTCCGTCCGCCAACCGTGTACTTCACTGAAGCGACGCGCCGTAATCGGCACGACGGAAATTGAGACTAAGGAAGAGCTAGAAACGCCCATACGTCTCCCGTCTTGCCGATCAATTTTCTTTCGTCCTCTCTTCTTCCTCTCTCCCCTTCTTTTCTCCCCGGGGGATCTAGCATAAACTGCTCCCCGCCCGCGTGTCCAGTACGTGTCGTAACAGGGTTGGGTTTTGATCTGTACGTAACGGTTTTGATCTGTACGCCAAATTTTTGATCTGTACGCCAAATTTTTGATCTGTACGCCAAATTTTTGATCTGTACGTAACGGTTTTGATCTGTACGTAACGGCGCTTGGTCTGTACGCAACGGACGATTCTACCAATCAGCGTGCAGGAAAAGGGCACGTCTGACGGCATCAACGCTTCGCCTCTGTTTTTCCCTCAACGCGAAGATTGGCGTTCAACTGCAGTGTTGACGTTATATATTTTTTTTATTACAGATTGCTCAATCGCATGATGGGCAGACGAATTTTGTGATGTGCATTTTTTTAGAATGAAAGTTCGATGATGGTTGACCTTTGCAATCTTACAGTCCTGGGTTTGTTTTAAAAAGAACGACAGAGCTGGGGGGATCTTTGTTGCCACAGTTCGTTGTTCGCATTGCTCGAAAGAATGCGAGTTTTTCACATGGATTGTTTCTACACATGGCAATAATACAACTGTGCTGACGTCCAAAAGTCGATCCAAGGTCTTGTCAAGGAGATTGAAAGACTCACTCACGGCAAAGAAACGTGAACTTGAACGACAGCAAGAATTGTCACTCTCGAAGACCAAAAGACGCCGAGTCTCCACCTCCTCGGACTATGCGGCACCGTTGGGACAACGCAAACCTCTCCCCTTCTTTTCAAAGCCTGGCTGGTGATAAGGATCTCATTGTATTGGTGCTTGAATCTTTCCAAAGTGGGGAATGGGACTTACTCCTGCAGCGGTATGGCTACGGAAATTGGGAGCCGAGAGTAAGTCTCATGGGGAAACAAACAACTGGGGATTGATGAATAACAGTGGAGGAAACCTTGGAGGTGTGGTTCAAACAAGGTTCAAAGTGCCGTTCAATTCAAATTCGTTATGAAGCGATGAGAGCTCTATAAGATGTTATGGCATATTCAATAGAGTAACCATATGAGATAAAACAAAAGCTACTGCAAAGCAAAGTAGTTTGAAAATAAATAGCAGCATAAACAAATAGTCCAAAGAATCAATCAACACAGGTCTTAGCAGCCTTACAGTAAGCTAATCGCTTCCAACGTTTGGGCGTTGGACCAATCGAGTGATAGCAAAGCCAGCAAGACGATTTTCTGCTCTCTTTTCATCTGCTGCTTCCAGATTCCTTCACCCCGCAACCCTCGTATCACTTCCATATCCCTGGGTAAGCCGTCAAGAGATGGTTGCACGGACGGCAATCACTCTGTCTCTTGCTAAGGTAAAACGAAGAGAAAGTAAAGGCTCCCAACATGCCAATTCCTTGTAGCAATAGAAAACAATTGATAGTGGTTGCTCGATACTCTAGCCATTCCGGCATGGCCTTTTGTGCCACCAACTCTTCCATCAATTCCTTTGTAATCGCGTCCGCATCCAGCATGGAAACGTGGGGATAAGAAGGCAATGCTGCATTGCTTTTGTGGTTCATCAAGTCCAAAACTTGTTGACGATACTTTGCATTTCGCTCGTCACTACCCATCAAGAGGGTAATATTCTTTCCTGTTGATTCCGTTCCATACAAGGAACATTTCAAATAGCTTTCCAATAAGTCGGGCAACGTGGTGTTGCACACCTTTTTGGAATCTCCTCGTCGAATGTGGAAAAAAGCCAAAGTTTGTGGAAGTGCCTCCTGGAGCTAGTGCCTAAACTCGCTTTCGCAATTCGGTCCGAAAGGTATTCAGTGGAGCTATGGCTCCATTTCTTCTGGTGTTTGCGAGGCATATTGACATGCTGGTACCTTTGTCAATAGCGAAGGACGCATTCGATCATGATAGCTCTGTTATTCGGGTCGTATAGTAGTTGCTTTGCTTCCGTATCATTGAGTCCTGGCAGTCTATCGACCTTTCGCAAATCCGATTTGTACAATACCCGATGTATGTATTTCTCACAAAAAGCCTCGATCGGGATCGTATTAGTGATCCGAAGAATGTCGCTGGAGTTGCTCGAAATCGCGGAGTAGATTGCTTGACTTGTTGGATGTCAATAACGACCAATCCTGAGGATATTTGGATCTGTTGTAAAGGCCCAGCAGGGCGCCCAGCTCTTGTGTGTAGTGGTGTTGTGGGTCACCGATTCGGATTGTCTCGAATGTCATATAGACTCTGTGAACCGTCTGGACGAAAGGTAAGATTGAAAAAGTCACCCCATCGAACTTCTTCCCTAATTTTTTGCCCAGATTGTGGGAGCGAGCAAAGGACGACATGGGTGCTGGCAAATCGACCGCACTGCACACAAGTAACCAGCCAGTTTCGACAACATGATGACAACGATCGATGCACGATCGCTCATTCCAGCAAAGCCAATGGAGGCTTATATTCTATTCTTTCGATTGGCACATCACCTAATATAGAGTCTCCATCTTCTGACACTTCTGCTGTGGTTGGTGTACGGGATGGAACTTGCGGTGATGATGGTGACGTGTCGGGTTGCACATGGTTCTCATAGTCTTGTTTCGATACAGCAAGCTCATCACCTCCCGTACTGTTTGTATCCTGTTGGAATTGAGTGTCCGTTCTGTTGACATTGTATTGATTCTTGACACTGAGTTCTGCTGTCGCTACAAGGGCCTTCCGAAAGCCTTGTCTCGTCAAAAGGAAGTGTTGAAGGAACAGAAGGATGACTGCCAAAAAGCTGGCCACTTTCAAGATGCCCTGCTTTCGTTTTAATAAAACTCGGACATGCGTGATTGTGCAGTTGAAGGGATGAGTCAGTCAGTCACACCATTCAATAATACTACTGTAGTTTCAACATGCAAGTCAGAACCATGACATGTTCATGGTGGTGAGCGACTGGTTTTCCGACAAGGCCCCAACCAACTTTGCGAAATTCGCATTGGTGGAGAATTTGGCAGTCAAGTCTTTCATTATGCGAGTTGCTCGTAGTTTATCACACAACTGGTCAACATTCCCGTCGGCCCAATTGTTGAAAAACCGTGATGCATCATCACGTCTCATTCGATAGAGCAGGTTTATGAAGCATTGCCTTGTCATGCGCACGGCTTCAGCTTTTTACATCTCCAAATAACCTACATTGTCATCGTGCTCCAAGAAACGGCCACCAGAGTCTTGGACTTCCAAGACGATCAAACCTGCCATAAGCATTCTGTCGTCCCTATTTGCACCCTTGTACTCGTCCAATCTGTCGCTCACAAGTTGTCTCTAGTGCTGATTTCCAGCATGGCGACCACGTTTTCTACGACGGAGAACGTCGCCTTCAGTTACCGAGGCCATTGTTCCTACTTTGATAGGAACGTGTCACATTATGAGACAATAGCTGTCTTGGCGCGACTGGGTGATGATGAGATGCAGCACGCGTTTCTAGAAAATATATTCCAAAAGAAGAAAAGATTGAAAAATATTAGCAGTCTTCGTGCGGTTGTCAAGTAATCTTGAATCCGCGGTATCTCATGATGTTTGCTTCATTCTTGTACGTTGAATCGTACCTATCGTGGTACATAAGAGATGGTATCGTTTTAACCAAACCTGTCGGTCAAGAAGAAATACCAGGATTGTTCTACCTCGCACAGTACCATACTCCTTCTTAGCCAACACTGTATTACTTTTTACAAGCATCATGCGTAGTATATTATAAATGTACAGGGTGTAGGGTCTGTAAATGATGCCGAAAACTAAGAACAAATATTTAGTCGACGGAGTCGAGCATAAGAGTTGGTCGACTGAATCGTCGGAAAAACGACGAAATTTTTATTTTGTGGTGTTCCAAACGATGTCGGCTGAGAGTATTGTAGATTGCCGGGCATGATTTGCATCCATGATCAAACTGATGGTGGTCTCCATCATAGTAAACTATTCCCAAAAAGCACATTTGATTCCGGTTCAGAAGGTGATAGACCATCGCAGCCGCAATATCACTTAGCTGGTGACCAAATCCGTCCCCATAGTTATGATGCACGAAGTATTCAAGACAGTCTTTTCCGCCTGCTGTTGCCGTTCATTGTTGTCTTCGGAAAGGATACTGTTGATCTTGGCAGTCAAGTCAGTATCCCATACTGTGGACCCACCCCATATGAAAAGACGACGAGTACTGTACAGTAGGCTGTAGGTATCTGTTCTTCTTGGTGGTAAGGTATATTACGAATGCACATGTTCCATTACACATCCGAAAGATATTATTCAGCAGGCATCCGTACTCCAAAGTATGATTATCCAAGTTCCAGAAAGGACACCACATTAGGAATTACAAACGACGATCCGCATCGAGCTCGATGGACTTCTCGCTCAGCCGCATCTTGGGCGAGGTCTCCATTGCTCTGCTCAAATATTTCTCGCTTCCACAAGGCAAGCTCTAGAACAGATACCCCCTCGACTTGTTCAAAAACTTGGAAGGTAGCAAAGGTTGCCCGCCACAGTAGCTGTTGCCGTTCATTGTTGTCTTCGGAAAGGATACTGTTGATCTCGGCAGTCAAGTCAGTATCCCATACTGTGGACCCACCCCACATGGAAAGACGACGAGTCACGTAGTTCTGAAGGCATAATTGAACCATGTACATGGACTCGATGGTCCAATTCCATCCCAAGAAGCAATATTCAATGGCCTTTTTCCCGGTGACATCCTCCCAACCCAAAATGTAGGATGGATAGGTCTCTAGCAGCACCTCGAGCAAATCGACTCGCCGCTTCCCAGCAGTCAGGAGTATATGAAAGGGTGACATGCCAAAGTCATCCACAATGTCATTCCTATCATCCTTCTTTGCTACTTGGTGGTTTTGAATGGCTTTACGCAATGTTTGCACACTCGTTGCTGATGAATGATAACACAATTTGTGGATCGGGTAATCGTCTCCAAATCGGCTGACTTCACCCATAAAAAAGGGAGCTAGATCCCTTCCATATTGCTGCTCGAGCCAAGTACATCCTTGAAATCCATTCTCGCCGAATCCAGAACCAAATCTGTTGTCGAGTCCATGAATCTTGTATTCTTCGCTTAGAGATCTGGGCAGTGATACATTGATCATGGCCTTGCAATGGACAAAGGCATCCTTGCGAATCCGAAATTGAGGAGACATTCCCGTCGGTGGAATTTCGACCGTCACCAACCGCGGACAGCTGGCAAAGGCCCGAATCCCAACCAATTCCACCGACTGGGGCAAAATAACCGCTTGGAGCGCAAGGCAGTTACCAAAGGCAGAATGCTGAATCTCTTGGACTCGATCCTTCCGATAGTTCCACATCTACTACCAACGACGTGCATCCGAAAAAGACACTCGATTTGATGACTGTCACTGTGTTTGGAATCTTGACTTTTCTCAGCGCAATGCAATCCATAAATGCTTCCCATTCCATGTGTTTTAGAAGGCTTGACTGTTGTTGTTGTTGTTGATGATGAGGGCTACCAAAGTCGACGCCCTCCAAAGCTGAACATCCCTTGAAGGAATCCTGTTCAATTGTTTCGACTGTCGATGGAATCTTGACATAGTTTAACGAAATGCAATTGAGAAACGAGCTGGCCTTGATTTTCTTGAGACCTTCGGGAAGGGAGACTTGTTTCAAGTTGCTACATGAATGGAAGCAACTCTTGGGAAGTTTCTCGAGACTGGATGGAATTTTGATTTTTTCGAAGGAAGAACAATCCAGAAAGGCGGATGGACCAACCACCAAGGATCCCAAACGGAGTTCTTCGTCTTTTGGTTGTTCAAAGGCTGCTAGCAGCTTGACTTCTTTCAAGGATCTACAGCCATGAAAGGCATGGCCTTCAATCTCTTCTACAGTCGATGGAATGTAAATTCGCGCCAAGGCCGTACACTGATAAAAGGAGCAGAATCCGATATGCTTTAGTTTTGACACAGCAGCATTGAGGTCTACTTGAACCAACTGGTTGCACCTGGCAAATGAATTCTTGCCAATGGTTTCGACCGACCAAGCAATCGAAATTCTTGGTAGCTTAATACACTCCGCAAAGGCGTAGTCTCCAATTGTTTTGAGTTGGCAAGCTGGTTTGATTGTGTTGGTCTGCAAAATCGTTATGCTGCTATTGACAATAATGGCTTCATGATCTTCTTCTTGTTCTATCATTACCACTTCGTGCAGGTCATGACACTTTTCGCACAGCCGATTGGGCAATGAGGCAGCGGTAGGACGAATAAGAAGCTTTTGTACCGCGGCAGGTGCCTTGGTGATGCGTTTGCGGGCACCATTCTTGGTAGAGGAGGAGGATGATGATGATTCTCCTGAATAGATGAATTCAACTGTGATGGATGTAAATTGATTATTATTCTCGTTGGTTGACGACTCTGAGAGAGCAGTGGAAGACTCTGAAGGTGGCGACGGCGACAATGCCATTCTGCCTCCTTCCGGAATCGAAGACATCGTAATCAGAACAGTGGAGGCACTAGATCATATAGTTGAACACTGACATTTTGATTTGGATATTATTCCATTGTCGGATATATAGACATGATGATGAGGCAAAGAATAACCCGGATTCTATTTTATGGGTTGCCTACAGGAATATCCTACTGGTACTTGTACACGTACATACGTGCGTGTCATGTAAAATAACCTGTATGAAGGACAGACACTTCAAAGGATATTGTGTGATGAGTGATGAGTGATGAGTCAAAATAAAAATCTGCAAAATGAATAATAACAAGGAGAGAGATGACAATGACGGTGAAGCTCTTGCGCCCGCCATAGACTCAAAAGCACCTCCAACATGCCAGGACTGCAAATCACCCAAATAATCATCTGATTGAGGATTGTTTCGTTGAGCAGCTTCAGTTAGCCAATTTCAGTCGTGGCTGAAATGATTTCGTGTTAGTTCCACGATGGTGATGATGAAGATGCTTGGAGCGTTGCAGACGATGCCCAAACTATTCAGAACCCGTTTCGACTTTTCGGCAATCATCGTGGAAGTCTGACTTTCATTTCACTAGTCTCACTTTTACTTGGCTTGCCGACAGTCACAAGACAGAACAAACATGATTTGCCTACTCACTACCACCAACAACAACATCAACACCATCACGCAACTAGCGTTGACTCTTCTTGTCGTGCTAGTCGCCTTTACACCTGCCATTATCGAACAGCTCGTTAATCGAGCCCAGATTGTGATTGCGCCAGTCCGCAATGTCATCAACAACGGAATCGCTGCACTTCTTACAAACACCACCGTTGCTACCGTTGCAGCCATCATCGATGCTGTCCAAACTATCGCCAACAGAGTTCTTGAACCCGACAGCGATGCTGCTGCTTTCAAGAACAACAAGAACATCAAGAACATCAAAATCTTGGCTCTTCCACTCAGCGAAACTTACCTACAGCTCATCCTCAGAGCTCGTCCACGACACTGGGTCTTCAGATCTCCACAGGAGATCATTTTCTGGACCCCACGACACTTGATCCCAACCTCCACTATCCGTGCCACCATTATTACAGCCCTTTCCATCATCGATGCTCTCGAAAAAGTCGCCAACAGAGCCTTGGAATCTTACTGCAACAACAACCACAAGAACATTAAGATCCTGGCTCTTCCAATCAGCGAAACTTTCCTCCAGCTCATCCCCAGAGCTCCACGACACTTGATCCTCAGAGCTTCACGCGAGATTATTGTCTGGACTCCACGATACTTGATCCGAACCTCTTTCTGTGCCACCGTTATCGCAGCCTTTCTACGGACCATTATCGATGCTATCCAAACGATCAACAAAAGAGGTTTGGAATCTGACATCAGTGCTGTTCTCAACAAGAAGAAGAGCGAATTTCTTGCTCTTCCCATCAGCGAGACTTTCCTCCAACTGGTCCCTAGAGCTCCACGTCACATGGTCCTCAGAGCTTCACGCGAGATCATTGTATGGACTCCACGAAACTTGATCCGAACTTCTGACCCTTCCATGGTCCTCCCACGCATTATCGAGCTCGCTCAAGAGTTTGTCAACACGAGCACCATTGGAACGGTTATGTCATGCGCATTGGCTTCTTTGCCAACACCTGTTCCACAGTGCTGGACTCAACGCTTCAGCCTTGGCGCAGTCATGCAATTGTCGCCACCAACCTCCTTTACTACTTTCTTTGGGGGGAAAGAGCCCGAATATTATGTGAGCTCATTGGTCAGTATCATCGTTGACCACCACCACCACCACCATCACCAAGAAGACAAGCAGGAAGAAGCAACAGCGACTCCCATTGCCACCACTGAATCGACTGATAGTTCCATTATTGTTCTTTCCTCGTCGGATATGTTGGCCAACATTGCAATTGCAGCCGATAAGGAAAAGAACAACTTGGACGATGATGAAGATGAAGTGGAACACGTGGATGCAGCTGCTGCTGCTGTACTTTCTGCATTGTCTTCTTTTGCTGAAGAGGATAAAGTTGAATCTTCCCCTTCACTCTTCTACAAGAAAGAGGAATCTGAATCGTTTGCAGACTTGAAAGGCAAGCGAAAGGTCGTTCCATTTTGGATGTCCAAGCATAGCATTGCGCGAGCTGCTGGCAAGAAAGTCAAGGGACGTCGTGGACAATTCAAGCAATACCTTCGAGCACAAAAGAAGGCCGACCGTATCAAGATGGAGCAACAGCGTCGAGATGCTGTGAAACAACAAGAACGAATGGATGGCGGACATGAGGATATGGAAATCGACCATGAGGAAGACGAAGTGAAAATGGAAATCGATTATGAGGAATCTACTACCGATGCCTGCTGCAGCTTCACTGCTTCGAATTTCACGAGACGTCGTGGACAATTCAAAGAACGCGTAGTAGCACAAAACAAGGCTGGTCGTCGCAAGATTGAGCAACAACGTCGAGATGCGAAAAAACAAGAACTCTTGCGACAAAAGAGAGGAATGAACGAAATGAAAATCGAGTATGAGAATGATGTCTTTGACTCTTCTCATCTCGCCTCCTTTTCTGAATGGTACAGAGCTGAATTTGGATGTGAGCCAACAAGCTCATTGGACATCTTTGATGATCCATCCTTCGGACATGCATAAACTGGACATGCATAAACTGAAAATGAATGGGCCATGGATGGCTCAGTATGCAAGAACATGGAAGAACTTTCCACAAGCAAGACAGCCGACTTTGGTCGAGACTGCAACAAGAAAATCTATACGAAAACATGGAATAACGTTCCACAAGCAAGACTGCCGACTTTGTTCGAGACTGCAACAAGAATGAATGCAAAACAAATGATATGCATCAATACACTACTTTCAAGTAGAACGCAACCAAATTAGACAAACAAACAAAATGCAATGTAAATAGACGCAAATAGAACGTCGTGTATCCCCTTGGAAGCTTTCAGATCATTCGCCTTGAACTAGTCCCCACAGGTATCCTCCTTTTACTCTGACCAGTTGGAGACGCAAAGCAATCTTATCTAACTTGTTTGAAAACCTTGCTCCAGCATCTTAGCTTAGTCAAAAATGAATGACAACGATAGACTTCGCATGAATTGAATAACACATGCACAAGTATATACAAGAATAGGTTTCAACAACAGCAAAAGGATGGATGTATAAAATAGTTTGATACAACAATTTATTCTAATGTGTTTGTGCTGTTTGACTCTCAAAAAATTATTTAGAAGACAGTAAAGTCCTTTCCAGCAATCAAAGCACCCAGCCGCGAAAGGCTTGACGATTCCAGTCAAGAGTGAAACGGGTCCAGGGATGGTTTGCTCGGTCAAGAATCCAAATAGTCCCAACATGGTCAGACGACCGTTGTTGATTTCCTTTACTAAACCAGCGGCTAATCTCCAAAGTGATGGCAATGGACTACAAAAGCACCTTCAATATGGACAGGAATCCACGAGGCACTCGTCACTCAGGCGACTTATCTGGCCAGGGGAGGACTCAACGCAGTGTTCAAGATGACCGATATAGATGGTTCCACACGCATATTGTCAAGATTCTGAGGTACAATAAAAGCAAGACTTTTTACACGGAAAGCAATTTTGACCGCGTCCGCCGGGATTCTCCCGTCATGGAACGTGGCATAAGTTCATCGAGTTTGGAAAAGATGGGGGTCTTGATTCTTGGATGGAAGATAGATATCATGATTTGTCACAAGATCAAAAGCTGCAAGTAGCTACTCAGATATCTCAATCCTTGACCGATGTCCACAATCTCGATGGCGACGGCATTTCCAGCATGACTCACGGGGATATTGCGGCATAGCAATACATTTTGATCATGGGATATTCAACTTGAACGATTTCAGTAGAGGACGTCTCATTCAATGGAACAGCAAGCTACAAGAACCATGTTCTTGCACGATACGAAGCAATTGCGGAAAGGTAGGTGAAGATCAAAATTGGATAGGGTAGATTGGATCGGTTATTGTTATCAAACCTGAATGACATCGTTTTTTTCATTATGCTCACGTTTCTGGACAGTTACGATCGCCAGAAGAACACAACTTTATCCTTCACAAACGGCCGCAATGAACTCTGAAGTATATTTGTAAAGATGATTGATTACCGGTCAAGAGGCATGGTATGGGTATGGCATAGAAGTTGCCCAAAAAGCTATCAGCGACGGTATGTTGCCACCACTATAAGGAAAGATATAAATTAATCCGACCTAGTCACTCAGGTGCTGATGAAAGCTGCGCTATTGGAATGTATTATGTCTACGAACCCACGCTGAGAGGTCAAAGGCTAGCAAGAATGTCACCGTCGACTTTCTGAAGGGTGAAGCAACACAACTTGGTTTGCAGTGGGACAAGCTCTATGAGGGGGTGCGGAGAAACACTTTGACGTCTGTGGAATAAAGTTTCAGCTATACAGTAGCACTGTACTGTATTAGGAACTTTTTGGGAACTGTCGAATAATGAGTGAATGATATCGAGCTCGCATTGAATGAAGGAATCATTGTCGCAGGTTTTCTCTGTTCCTTCGCAGGTTTTCTTCTCCATCTTCTCCGTTAAATAAATCCAGAAACTCTCCTCTGTGTTTGGCGGGCAGGCAGATTCCATACGAAATTTGTTATATGGTTGTCGCCTTGGATACAGGATCACGCGTGCCATCTCGCCAAAATTCACCTTATACACGTGTACCGTGTTCTTTTGAAAATCGCTTCAAGATTCCGTGACGCAATGATATCCTCCCAACGGATAGATTTGTGAGAGGTGCGTTTTCGAAAACATTTCATTCTACAACAATATTACAATGATCCGAAAAGGCGCGAGCCATGAAAGATGGCGAAACTGCTCATATGTGGAGTCCAACAGGAGCGGTGAAGAGTACCACGACAATGATGGAAATCCACTCTCGACTAGCCCTCAAGAAGCCAATCGAGAAGCCTGCACGAAAAGCTGCAATCGTCGTGTAAGTGGAAGTATTGCTCGGCTACGACAAAATCACCAGCTGATCTGGTCTTTCCAGGCAAGCATGCTTCTTTTGTGCCTACATTCAGTGGCAAGTCGATTCGATTCAATATCGGCACTCCCAACGGTGGAGGGTATGCAGAGGAGGCTTTCGGTGAGAGGAAAACAAACAAGTGACACCAGCTTTCGACAGCCAAGAGTTCTTCAAGTGGACGACTCGTCCTTTCAAGCAGTTCAGAATCTTGTTCATCATAGTGTACACAAGGAGTCGGAACATGAAATTCAAATCACAAAGAGCGAGAGACGTGCCAAGAAGAATCTAAGAAATAGCTATCAATACAAGAAGTGGCAACGAGACCCACTAAGAGAGGGAGATTGTGAACCCATGGATCCTTGGCAAGAGACGAGCTTTCCTAGCTGTAACCTCATGCATGAGGTTGACGTAGCACAACAAATGGAAGTGTTAACAGAAGGAGGCTATAATACGATCTACAAGATGAAGGACATTGACGGAGCCACCCACATTGTCAAGATTCTAAAGTACGAAAGGGATTACAGTGACCGTAACTTCGATCGCGTGCGGCGCGATTCTTTGCTCATGGAACGAGCGTCTGGCTCCGACTATGTCGTCGATACCTATAGTTTTTGTGGGTTTGCTCAAGTCATTGAATATGGCAAGGGCGGAAACCTTGGTGACTTTTTGCATGGCGATCATTATAGACGCATAACGCAAAACCAAAAGCTTCAGATTGCTACCCAGGTTACTCAAGCTTTGGCCGATCTGCACAATCTGGAGGGCACGGGCATCTCGAGCACTACTCACGGAGACTTTGCCACCAAACAGTATATTTTCGTAAACGGCAGATTCAAACTGAGTGACTTTAATCGAGGGCGTTTCATCCGATGGAACAAGAAAACGCAAGAGGCCTGTCCGTACACAATCGGTCACAATGGAGACAAGGTGAGAAGGTGGTTTCGTTCGCATGCGTAGTCTGAGTGATTCCAAGTACTGTAGTAGTAGATACCACGATCGACGATCTAATCCATTGCTTATTGCAATTGCATATTCAGTTCCGAGCGCCAGAAGAGTACATCAAGGGGGCACCCCAAACTGCGGCTATCGATGTATGGGCATTAGGAAGCCTGCTTGTAGAGGTGGTATCGGGGCTTCCAGTTTGGTACGGATACGACAATGAGGTTGCGCAGAAGGCGATTCTGGAGGGAATAAAGCCACCATTCCTCCGTGAACAAATAAGTAACCCATCCGGTCCAATCAACGAGGTGTTATTGGAAGCTATCGATATGTGCTGGGTTTATGAAGCGAAGGATCGACCAAAGGCTGGGTTCATTTTGGGTTACTTGAAAAAGGAAGCAATGAGGTTGGGAATAAAGTGGAACGAGCCATTCAAATTGAATGGACATTGAAACGTATAGTTAGTGTTTGCGATTTGATCTGACAAGGCAATACGCGCATTGAGTCAGTCTCTTTGTCTTTTAGGTTACAGCCCGTTGATACTACATCATCATATGGCTGTCGTGACTTGACCTAGAAAATGATCATCTTCGTCGCCCAAATAGAATAGAAATATCGCGCAAATCAATTATTATGAGGATTTTTTGAATGAGAATAACGTGTGTTTCCCCGCCGACAGCTGACATACAGTATATTTTACACTCCTAAAATCTTGCGAAATTGAAAATGAAGCAAATGAAAAAAACAGCACCCGCGTGTGTATCGCGTGCGCGGCCGGCCTGGCGGAGCGAGTTGATGATTTATTTGTAGCTGCACGTGTACGTGTACACGTACAGTGTACATGTGTACACGTGTACGTGTACGTCACAAAAGGATGAAGGGCAGACAAAGCGATAATGATGAAAGTAATTTCAAATTGTCGTCGTCAAAATAACAAGGAGAGAGATGACAATGACGGTGAAGCTCTTGCGCCCGCCATAGACTCAAAAGCACCTCCAACATGCCAGGACTGCAAATCACCCAAATAATCATCTGATTGAGGATTGTTTCGTTGAGCAGCTTCAGTTAGCCAATTTCAGTCGTGGCTGAAATGATTTCGTGTTAGTTCCACGATGGTGATGATGAAGATGCTTGGAGCGTTGCAGACGATGCCCAAACTATTCAGAACCCGTTTCGACTTTTCGGCAATCATCGTGGAAGTCTGACTTTCATTTCACTAGTCTCACTTTTACTTGGCTTGCCGACAGTCACAAGACAGAACAAACATGATTTGCCTACTCACTACCACCAACAACAACATCAACACCATCACGCAACTAGCGTTGACTCTTCTTGTCGTGCTAGTCGCCTTTACACCTGCCATTATCGAACAGCTCGTTAATCGAGCCCAGATTGTGATTGCGCCAGTCCGCAATGTCATCAACAACGGAATCGCTGCACTTCTTACAAACACCACCGTTGCTACCGTTGCAGCCATCATCGATGCTGTCCAAACTATCGCCAACAGAGTTCTTGAACCCGACAGCGATGCTGCTGCTTTCAAGAACAACAAGAACATCAAGAACATCAAAATCTTGGCTCTTCCACTCAGCGAAACTTACCTACAGCTCATCCTCAGAGCTCGTCCACGACACTGGGTCTTCAGATCTCCACAGGAGATCATTTTCTGGACCCCACGACACTTGATCCCAACCTCCACTATCCGTGCCACCATTATTACAGCCCTTTCCATCATCGATGCTCTCGAAAAAGTCGCCAACAGAGCCTTGGAATCTTACTGCAACAACAACCACAAGAACATTAAGATCCTGGCTCTTCCAATCAGCGAAACTTTCCTCCAGCTCATCCCCAGAGCTCCACGACACTTGATCCTCAGAGCTTCACGCGAGATTATTGTCTGGACTCCACGATACTTGATCCGAACCTCTTTCTGTGCCACCGTTATCGCAGCCTTTCTACGGACCATTATCGATGCTATCCAAACGATCAACAAAAGAGGTTTGGAATCTGACATCAGTGCTGTTCTCAACAAGAAGAAGAGCGAATTTCTTGCTCTTCCCATCAGCGAGACTTTCCTCCAACTGGTCCCTAGAGCTCCACGTCACATGGTCCTCAGAGCTTCACGCGAGATCATTGTATGGACTCCACGAAACTTGATCCGAACTTCTGACCCTTCCATGGTCCTCCCACGCATTATCGAGCTCGCTCAAGAGTTTGTCAACACGAGCACCATTGGAACGGTTATGTCATGCGCATTGGCTTCTTTGCCAACACCTGTTCCACAGTGCTGGACTCAACGCTTCAGCCTTGGCGCAGTCATGCAATTGTCGCCACCAACCTCCTTTACTACTTTCTTTGGGGGGAAAGAGCCCGAATATTATGTGAGCTCATTGGTCAGTATCATCGTTGACCACCACCACCACCACCATCACCAAGAAGACAAGCAGGAAGAAGCAACAGCGACTCCCATTGCCACCACTGAATCGACTGATAGTTCCATTATTGTTCTTTCCTCGTCGGATATGTTGGCCAACATTGCAATTGCAGCCGATAAGGAAAAGAACAACTTGGACGATGATGAAGATGAAGTGGAACACGTGGATGCAGCTGCTGCTGCTGTACTTTCTGCATTGTCTTCTTTTGCTGAAGAGGATAAAGTTGAATCTTCCCCTTCACTCTTCTACAAGAAAGAGGAATCTGAATCGTTTGCAGACTTGAAAGGCAAGCGAAAGGTCGTTCCATTTTGGATGTCCAAGCATAGCATTGCGCGAGCTGCTGGCAAGAAAGTCAAGGGACGTCGTGGACAATTCAAGCAATACCTTCGAGCACAAAAGAAGGCCGACCGTATCAAGATGGAGCAACAGCGTCGAGATGCTGTGAAACAACAAGAACGAATGGATGGCGGACATGAGGATATGGAAATCGACCATGAGGAAGACGAAGTGAAAATGGAAATCGATTATGAGGAATCTACTACCGATGCCTGCTGCAGCTTCACTGCTTCGAATTTCACGAGACGTCGTGGACAATTCAAAGAACGCGTAGTAGCACAAAACAAGGCTGGTCGTCGCAAGATTGAGCAACAACGTCGAGATGCGAAAAAACAAGAACTCTTGCGACAAAAGAGAGGAATGAACGAAATGAAAATCGAGTATGAGAATGATGTCTTTGACTCTTCTCATCTCGCCTCCTTTTCTGAATGGTACAGAGCTGAATTTGGATGTGAGCCAACAAGCTCATTGGACATCTTTGATGATCCATCCTTCGGACATGCATAAACTGGACATGCATAAACTGAAAATGAATGGGCCATGGATGGCTCAGTATGCAAGAACATGGAAGAACTTTCCACAAGCAAGACAGCCGACTTTGGTCAAGACTGCAACAAGAAAATCTATACGAAAACATGGAATAATGTTCCACAAGCAAGACTGCCGACTTTGTTCGAGACTGCAACAAGAATGAATGCAAAAAAAATGATATGCATCAATACACTACTTTCAAGTAGAACGCAACCAAATTAGACAAACAAACAAAATGCAATGTAAATAGACGCAAATAGAACGTCATGTATTCTCTTGGAACCTTTCAGATCATTCGCCTTGACGTAGTCCCCACAGGTATTCTCCTTTCACTCTGACCACTCCGACAACAGCATCACCCCCATGCTGGTCTTCTTCAAGCCAACTACTAGAGGACATGGCAATACAAGCAATCGTATTCAACTTGCTGACTCCAGGATCTACAAAAAAGGATGGGTGGATTGTAGGAAAAAAATAGTTTGATACAACAATTTATTCTATTGTGTTTGTGCTCTTTGACTCTCAAAAAATTATTTAGAAGAAAGTAAAGTCCTTTCCAGCAATCAAGGCACCCTCGTATGGCTTGACGATTCCAGTCAAGAGAGGAACGGATCCAGGGATGGTTTGCTCGGTCAAGAATCCAAAGAGTCCCAACATGGCCAGACGACCGTTGTTGATTTCCTTTACCAAACCAGCGGCCTTGGCTTCCTCGGACTTGCCGCTGGAGAAACCAAAGGGATCAAAGAGGTTGAATGGAACTGGGTGAGGAATGGCAGCTCCAAAGGCAGGGAAGGCACCTGGCTTTCCACCCTTCATGTAGTGAGCTTGTCCCTCAGTAGTGCTGAGAGAAGAGGCCAATTCAGAGTAGACCTCCAAGAATCCAATGAAAGTGATGATTTGGTGCTTGGATTCGATGGGAAGAGCAGCCCATTGTTCTGGAGGAGAAAGGTCCGTGGATGGGAAAGGAGTTCCATCCAACTTCATGGGCCAAGGCCAGTGGAAGTTGGATTGGACGCAGTATCCGACGAAAGCAAACATGGCAACACGTCCGTGCTTGATTTCGGCGTGACGGAGGAAACCAATGGTTTCGGCATCACCGGCTTCCCACAAATTCCAAGACGAAAGTCGAAGAGGATCGTAGTATTTGACGACTGGGTTCAACTTTCCTGCCAAGGCTTCAAGATCGGCCTATTTTAGGATAAGGTTGTATATAAGCAAGATGGATTGAGGATTACATACAAGAAGATGGACGAAACGAGAAAAAAGTTGGTAAGCCAATGAATGGATGCATTGATATCAAATGTTTCGATAAAACACCAATGAGCGAGGACTCACCTGAGATTCTTGGACAGCAACTGAAGCGCGAGATCCTTCTTGAGCAGGCGCAAAAGCAGCGGCGGAGGCAATAAGGGAGGCAAGGATAGCGGTCTTCATGGTGGATTTATATTTTGAGATTGTGGCCTAGTATGTACTGGTATCTTCAACAATCTGTCTTCTGCTCGTCCTGAGAAACCTCGTTCGTTTGCGTGGCAAAGATACCACAAATCTTGGACTTCAAGACAGTCAGATCTCCAAAAACCGTCGCAGTCGTTTGGACTTCAACTCAAACTTGAAGTTGAACTTTGAACTTTTATTATTGTCGTGACGTTTTCGTTTTTGAATTTTCGTCCATCCTTCTGCCGCGGTCGAATAAGTCGAGGTAGTTTTAAAAATATATGGGGGAATGGAGAAATGAAAGACATCACAACGGATGCGTATGATGATGCAAAAGATGACATCATCGACAGTGGAAGACCACGACAACTCATCCTGTAGTACACTGTAGGCAGAACAAAGGTGTTGTCATCATCACCAACATAGTCAGATGGTGGAATCGCACATCAAATCTTTTGAATCACTATTATACATCCGATTATAGATCATCTTATTTTTCCTGCAGTCAGTGAAGCGGAATAATCTCCACACATCAACAAGAACTCCGAGGAAATAAAGTTGGCTACAGCATATAATAGCCACTGCTTTCGATTCGCAGCATGAATAAGTTTATTTTTGGCCGTGCGCTTTTGCTACTTCTTTGGCATTCAACCACAGCCGCATTCCTACTGATACAGATGCCATTGTCACCTGAGATTTCGACGAGCCTAATACCACGAATCAACGACCAACAAAGAATCCATGACATCCCCGTCCAAAGATGGCACACGTCCCTATATCATCTCTCAACGATCAACCGTCGGTCGACAAGAATCAGACTACGGGCTGAATCTCCTCAATCGGCTGTAACCACCATGGAAACACTAGTAGCAAATCAGGAATCCGTGAAGGTTGGAATTATTGGTACGTTCCATCCATATTATGTGGTGATAATTTGCACCCTTCCTTTGATTATTTTTGTTCCATGACTAATATGGTACTGAATATTGATGATGCCTATTATTGTTATTCTCGCAGGAGCTGGTGCCATTGCCAAGGGAACTGCAGCCCTCTTGTGTCGAGCGGGGCATGATCCCATGATTTGGTCTCCCTCGGGCAAGGCCACGGATGCTTATTCTAACCACCAATACCACCAAGTACAATTGATTGCCACTGGAGCCATACAATTGGAATCATCCATTCGGATAGCACAAACCGCCCAGGAACTAGTCGCGGAGAATGATGTGCTGGTATTTGCCTTGCCAGCCAATGGTCACAAGAAAGTATTCGAAGACCTCGCTCCGTTTGTGAGATCCGATCAACCTTTGATCATTTCCTCGCATTCGTCGTTGGGAGCCCTCTATTTGTCGCAACTCTTGCAACAGCATCGACGAAAGGGTCCAACGTCGACGACTCCTTGTATCACGGCGTGGGGCACGACCGTTTGTACGGCACGATCGACGGCGCCTTTATTATTGGAGGAATCAGTAGAAGCACAAGGACCCATGATGATGATGGTGCGGATCAATACGATTCGCGAAAACGTGGATACCTGCACGATACCTTCCACCTTGCAAGAACCAGCGACCCAATTGTGCAAACATTTGTTTACATCCAACAGAAGCAATGATCAAATCATTGAATTCCGACCACGACAAGGTTTGTTGGCAATATCTCTGTCCAACTTGAATCCGCAAAATCATCTTGGGATTGCCTTGGGCAACATTAGTCGGATGGAAAAGGGCGAAACTTGGTATCAGGTACGTTTCATTCGTTTTTGTAATGATGTCAATAACAATGATGATGATGGAATCCATGAAAGATTGATTCATGAGCTCGCATTCACAAAACGTTGGTATTATATTACTCTCCGTGTTTAGTTTGAAAACGTGACGCCAACAATCGGCCGATTCTTGGAACAACTGGACCAGGAAAGATTGGAGATTGCCAAGGAGCTGGATCTGGAAGTCAAGACGATCTTTGAGCACTTTTCGCAAAGTTTTCATGTTCCAGTTACTGATAGTATCTCGGATATGAACCAAGTCATTCACACGGATGGGAACGATGTCCATGGTCCCGCCACGGTTGACAGTCGATATGTCACGGAAGATGTTCCCTTTGGATTGGTGCTTGTCATTGTTCTGGGGGACTTGGTAGGCAAACCAGCGATGTTGCATCGATCAGGATTGCAAATTTTATCTGCCATGTATGCTCGTGATTTTATGAACGAAAATGATCTCTTGCAAGTACTGGATTTGACAAGCTACCAGTTGCAAGAGTTGAAGGAAGCAGCACTCTCTGGAAACTTGAAAACGGTGATAAAGGCCAAAAGCAAAAGCAATTCAATATAAAGTATTGTTGGATTCAGATCCCCCCTCCTCCTCTCAAACTCACGGCGTTGCCCCTGTGTGGCAAGCACTAGAAGGACATTCTAAATCATGGAAGTAATTCATCAGTACAAGGGCGAAAGAAATATTATGCTAGTTGCTATGTAACTAAAATACTCTATTTGTTGTTATATCCCGACGTCGAGCCCTTCGTCCTCCTTCAGCTATATTGGGAAGCATCCACTAATGTCTTCTCGTTTCCCATAAAAAGGTCAAATGCAAAATGTTGCTACAAACAATTGAGAACGAAAACAGCGATCGTGGAAAATGAAGGCCTTTCATGGAATGATCATTGCCTATACAGCTGCAATCATATTAGAATGAGACTGGAACTGTACAAACTTATGTTCGGTCGACGCGATGTGCTGGTAGCTTGGCAACGCGTAGTCTGATTCCAAAGGTTCATCGTCTTCATCCTCGTCGAATGATATGTGCTCTGTAATAACCTTCACCAAGTCTTGGTCAGATTCTTCCCACATTTCGTTCAATTCGCTAATGACTTCATCCTTCTTTTCCCACATATCGTTCATGTCCTTCACAACGTCAAAGACCTTTGTCGAGTTCTCGCCAGTCGATTCGGCTAGAGAATCGTTTTCTGTATCCTCCTCATCCGAATCCAAGTCCGAATCGGGAAGTGACACGATCCGAGCTGCTGCAAGATTTGCGTTAGTAAGTTGTGGATAATGCATGTCGATCTTGAGACTGACGGTATCGATGAGGTCGAACAGGGCTTTGGATGCAACCTCTGTAGGGGATGGTGGTGCTTCCCTTTCAGGCAGTGTAGCAAATGATACCTTCTTTTGGAGAATCTCTGTTGATTCCGAATGAAGAACAGGCTCAACAATTGAGTTCTCTACTTCGTCTTGCATCTCCTTGGTCAGTTCGCGGGGAGGAACAGACTCGCAGGGTGTATTGTCTGCTTTCATCGGTTCCACTTGGGGGGCGGACTCGGTGGGCAAGTCTTCTTGTTCCAGTTGTACAAACCCTGTCGACTCGGGTTTGGAAACGGACTCGGTGCGCGGGCTGTGTTCTTTCTCTTGAATCACTTCGGTCTTTTCGGGTTGATGAGCAAGTTTCCCCTTTCGGCAGTTGCCTTCTACCGTTGATTTCTTGCCCTTCTTCTTGAAGAATCGGCCAAATATAGCCTTCGCCTTCTTTTTTGTAGAGGATTTCTTCTTGGAACTAGATTCAGTTGTCGTTACATCCGTAGGAGCCTCAGTGGAAAGTTTGTGCTCGCTGAAATCAGAGGCAATAGTCAACTGCTTCTTGACTGGTGCTTGCTCCGAGAATGAAAGATCAGTTTGCTTCTGCCCTTTATCAACGAGAGAGTTCTCGTTGACATCAGTCGCAACAACCAACTGCTTCCTGACTCGTGTCTTCACTGGGGATGCCGAAACTGATCGATAAGCAGTTGGCTTCTCTTCTTCTTTGCCACTGAGAGAGCGGAAGACCAAAACTATTGCCTCGCATGCGTAGTCAATGCAGGCTAGAGGACTGCTGTCGTCGATATCCTGCTGTTGTTGTGGCGCTTTCTTAGTGAGCTTTGCGTTGGGCTCGGTAGAAGCAATCTTGGTGATCTTGTTCCCCCTGTGTGACATCTTATTGGTGATTCTTTGTGTTATAGTAGTTGGCTGCTCTGTTGTGACGACCTTGAGAGTCTTCGAACCCTTCTCACTTTCAATGGCCTCAGTCGTAGCGACTACGAGAGACTTTGTAGCTGTAGCAGTCATGCGTTTTATGGATGTAGGATGCGTTGTGTTTTTTCTTTGTCTTCTTCTTCTTTTGTTTCCGTTCTATTCAACAATATTATGCCGTACAATATTATACCGTAGACACATGCCTTCACCTTTCTGGTAATCGTGACAAAGTAGTGAGTGGGTACTTCGTGCAAACAAATAGGAATCTTCGGATTTATCGGCATGCAACGTCGAGTTTCATTGTGACAAAGGTGCGCGATACGTTGAATTGTGAGAAGATGCCGAATCTTCATGCGTTCCAGAAACAATTCATGATTTTTAGTAATTTCGACGTGATTCATTACTCGTCGAAACGATCGATCATGTTGGATCGCCTGCCGGCATAACATTGAATATCTCATGCAGGATCATGGATCATCGCCAATTTCCATTTTTCGAATCTTTGCTTTTGGGTGCGTGGTGGTGGAAGAAGATTAGAAACGAAGATTAGAAAATGATAGACTTGGACGAATATGACGGAATATTTCAGAAGATTGAAGACCAATTCCAAGGTTTGACTGCTCCAGATCATGAGTTTATCGATACCGATGAAAAAGACGTCATCCTCCTGGTGGAACGACGAGGGCGCGGTGATTTGCATTCTTCTTCGTCGTCATCCGCCATTGCTCTAGCTGATGAAAGAGACGATTTGGACACCGATTTCGGTTTAATGCAGGAGACGGAAGACAAAATCTCTGCGGAGCTATTGGAGCTGAGTGATCTCATGCGGTCAGGGTCAAAAGATGATAGAACAAACAAACGAGACACGATGCCACCAGGAGGTTCATGGTTGGGGGGTCGGCGTCCTCGAGTGGAAGTGAGAGTTCTACGTGGGGAACAGAAAAGACATACAACTGAACTCGACAAGGCGATTATGAAGCAGCTTGAAGCGTTCCAAATTAGTGGAAAGGCTAAACAAGACTGCAAGAACAAGAAGCACCAAACGGACGAAGAGACGACGACTATGGAGGAGCGAGTTGAGGACACACTTCAGCATATATCAGGTAGCAGTCAAGATGAAATTCACATATTTCAATCAAACTCGCAAATTGATTCTTTCGATGCATCACTGCACGAGAAGTGTAACATCCATGCGACGAATCAAAGAAGTAGTCCAATGATGAAAGAAGAAAGCGTTGAAGTGGCAGCGATCTTTCATGGCGATCTTCAAGTAGAGATTGATGATGAATCTGAGAAAATTCTTTCTTCGTCGGAACGAGGCTTGAAGGAGACTTATCCGTTGGAATTTTCGGGACGGGCTCCTTCATCATCAAGATGCGCAAAATCTCTGCTGTGTCGTGATCCATCGATCTCATCATCATCCAGTGATGAATCCAGCCTTCTTTGGCTCGACGAAAAGTTGGATATTTAAAAGGTAACAGGCAGCGTGTCAAAAGGGATGTAGAACTGGGGATGAAATGAAGCAAAAGATGTATTGACTATAATACTAGTGTTCATAATATTTTTTCAAAATGTGTCATGTATACGAACGCATCCACCAAAGTAAAACACCCAAGGCAAGAGACGAGGTAATGAAGTAGAGGAAGATGAAGGCAAAGTTTGATAAAAGTGTTCCAATTTGTTGTATCTCTGTGTAGTGTCTCGATGATGAGCCAGATCATCGTAATGCGCATCCAATAAAATAAAAAGCCATCTATCATAACCAAAGGCAAAAAGATAATAAGCTTTTATGCTTCAAAACTAAACAAGATTGGAACTGGCCATCCACAACGAACGGTGGCCAATCAATTAATCAATCCATCCATCTACCAAGCCTCGGTGCCGTACTAATTCATGCTCCCGGCAACGATTGGGAGCATTGTATTTCACTTTCTTCCTTTTTTACACAAAGATATGCACATATATGGACTTGGTGATGTTTCAACCACCACTTCATGTCTCCATCTATCAATAATTCCCATGAACGAACGAACGAAGGAATGAATCCTCGTCATCTCTTCCACCACTTCCCCCCGTTTCCATTTCAAAGTCAACCAATGTTGTACTCATAATATATATTATATATTCAGGAATCAACTCCACGTGCGTTTGAAAAGAGGAGCCGACTTGCTAAATTGACGAAGCAGAAATGGGTCGTATTGAGGAAAGGCGGCGGCCAGCTTGTCGGCGCGACTGTTGACCACTTGGGTAGTGTAAGGGTGCAGTCCCAAGTTTTCCATTTGGGCTCTGTGAGAAAGGAACGATTGAGTGGAAAGGAAAGTGAGTTGTGAGTAAACCATTCATTTCGCCTTAGATTGAAAAGCCACAACGAATATGATCGAACAACAATGCTGTCATTTGTCTATAATCTGTCAATCAAAACAGTTTCTTACCTAGCATACTGCAAACACAAGAGAGAAAAGCTCAGAGCACCAAGAGGAGGTTCCATCCAGTTCCATGTCCACGATCCCACTTCCAGCATGGTTTCAAGGTCCTTTGGTTCTGGAATGTCAGTAGTCACATAGAATTCATTGAACCAAACTGCCGTATTCAGGTTGAAGACCAATGGCAAAGATCCAAAGGCAGCAAGCATTCCTCCACTAATGCCAATGAAATAAGGATAGACAGCCATTCCAGCTCTATTGGATTGTTCAATTTCCTGAAACTTGGTCGTGGCCGCGTCGTAATCCACTCCATCGATGCTCATAATGTGTCGAACCAGAGCCTCGCAACGTGCCTGATGATGTCCCAGAGCGGCAATGGTGACCAAGGTTTCATTGTTCATCTCTGGCAGACCAACGGGCATCAGCTTGGCAATCTCCATTGTTGGTTTGACAGAATCATGATTCGTCGTTTGAAGAAAGCGGCGAGTGTCGTCATTCTTTGTAGGAAAAGGAGTAACGTTATTATTACGAGTATACCCATTATTGGAATGAGTCGTAGTGACAGCAGCCGCAGCACCGCCACCACTTGGACGCATGCGGCGAAGCATGGAAAAGGCTCTTTGACTGGTGGTGTTGAGAGACATGCTGAACAACAACTGGCTTGTACTGTATAGGAATCTGTTCAATACAACCACAATACAACGATTATCGTGGAATGAATGATGAATGAATGAATCCTACTGTAGCGGGACCGCTCAAAAATGCTGTTGCGTTTATGTTGACGCTGCGAATCAATCCTTCTGCCGGTCAGTACCGGAATTTGGATATATTATTAGTCACTTTTTTCCGTTGGCTGGATATAACATCCTCGTACCGCCGTATGATAAGTACTTGAGCTTTTTCTACGCGTGGAACAAGGGCAAAATGCGTTCGACAATCCCGTTTTTCCCACTTGAAATACCCGGTAAAAAGAAGCGGTTTCTAAAAAGGATGTCCCAAAACCTTGATAGTTTCTTTTTTACTGGTATACGTAGTGGAATACCGGTAAGTATGCAGGCAGTTGTTGTTGATCCTAAAGTTCCTGCCAGGACAGCTATTACACTACAGTACTATTAGTAATATCATAGAACAAAACTACGTACACGTGTACTAGTACAAAGTTGCATTGTTGAATGAGACTATGATGGTGACGTTTATTATATTCAATCAATATACCATCATCTTCTAAAATGTCTCCTCATCGTCGGTCCTTGTTTGCCTTCTTCCGCACTCACATTTTTGGGACCACTGTTGTACTCCTCAAAGTATATTGACTGTCTGTGTCGAGTGACACATTCGAGTCCAGCAGACATTCGTGCACCAAGTCTTCCATAGCTCCCAATTCCATAGCTCAAGCATTTGGCATGACTTAACATTGCAATATCAAAAAAGGCTGGAAACATATCGTCGGCCGAGTTGTTGAAGGTGTCGAGATCCAAATGGTTGCGGGGCAAGGATTTCTTGAGTCCCAGAATACGTGTCGGCCAACTATTATTATTACCGCCGGACAACATGTAATCCACGACATTTGCACTATCCGAAGCGACGTAAATCGGCGGCAGTGATAAGCCGCCGGCATCAGAATTGTAGTGCGTTTGGTAGGCAGCAATCACACTTTCTACAGCCTTATAAGCCCATTTCTTCATCAGTTCAGAATGCTCTTCCCACGTAGGCCAAATCAAAGCGGATTCCGACCTGAGAGGGTATAATGCCCGTATGTGAGTTGCAAGGTATTCCTCATTGGCATTCAGACCAATTTGTTCCTCTTTTATTCTGTCAATGTACTCTTGCAACGCTTCTGTTGGGGTGAACATGAATCCAAATACATTGGAAACCACAATCTGGCTAGTACGCTCAGTTGTCCCGAACAAGTCGTAGACCTTAGGTGTCAAGTCCGCACGGGTAGTAACGCAAACCACTCGTTCCGAACTTTGAAGAGCACCCATCATGTATTCGTGGTTGGATTCGTCATGATGTTCGTGCAAGACTTTGGTCGGTTTCTGTAAGCACGAATCGCTAAATGGAGGTCGAGTTACCCATCGCTCAAGTCTCCAATCCAATGCGTAGTCCTGATTATCTTCGGGAGGAACCCAAAAGTCCTCTAGCTGATATTTCTTGTTCCAGTGAATGAGCAATACTCGTTCCGTTTTTTCCGCTTGGACCAGCCAATATGGTATGGATCGGACACGGTCGCTCAGTCCTCCACATTGCGTTCGTTTCAAGCATACCACAACTAGAAATTTGACATCCGTTGCCTTCTCTCGGTCGTACTTTCGCCGTTGACGTTTGTGCCATATCTTGTACCCCTCGATCCAATCAGGAAGTGCTACTACTGTTACTCCTTCCGCGATGACACCAGATTCGTTTTGAAAATCACTATTCGTATAGTTCCAGGTCTGAGGACTTTTGGATTTGGTGACAATCGAACTCAGAAATGGCGATTTCCAGCTACCCTTTGATAGCCAGAATAAGGCTATCAGGATGATGACGCTAGCCAAAAGAATGGCAATCAGCCAACTTTTGAGTTTCTTTCCCTGCTGCGTATTCATCTGTGATGTCATTGCAATGCCTTCAGTTGATTCATTCTTAAACTCTGTGGGACCAGCTTGCTTCCATTGGATTTACTGCAAATACTTTTGCCCTGTCATATGTCAAGCTTGCCTGCTAATGGGTACAGCGGTCGTGTTGTGGCGACGATGACGATGACGACGATATGCCTAAAATATAATACCGGTATATGATTACTTTTATAATAGGCCTATCTCAGTCTTCCATGAACGTGAATGAAATGAATCGCAGCAGGCTGGACTGATGGTGTTTTGACATGATATCAATATACCGGTAGACTGGCTAGTATGCGCGAGGTACCAGGTAGAAGTTACCAAACCGGATAGCATGCTTCGATAACTCATTCATTCATTGAAGCATATAGTCCTCCTATTTATAGTAAAAATTTGTCACTAAATATTTCCTGCTATTGATCCAATTCCTTGCCTGTCTGTTTTAGTGTTCCCTCCCATGTTGTCAGTGCCTCTTCGTCTTTGTGTGCCAAGCACCTGTCGTTGTCCTCCAACATACAATGTAAGCATCACGAAATGCATTTTTGTTTTTTTTTAAACGTTATGCCCAAACGCATCACCATCCATATGTTCTTTATCCAATGAGTCGATCAGAATAACTGAATTGCTTGAGCACTTCCGAACTGTATTGTGGATATCGGTCTGCCAATCGCTCTGCCCGACGGCGTCGAACCATGGACGTGTAAGGGTGAAGTCCCAAGTTTTGGATTTGACCTCTATAGTAGGGGTGTTGGAGTTGGCGTTGGCGTTGGCATTGGCACGGGTGAAGAGTATAGAGGTCAAAGTAGTGGTGAATTGCATTGAAAGAAGAAAATGTGAGTCTCAGGTGTGTCATTTTTTCAACATCAAAATTTTCCAGCAAATCATCGAAATATGTACAACACTCTTCAGACAATGAGAGTTTCATGATGTCTTTGATTTCCTTCAGTTCACTGCATTGTCCGTATCCAATAATGCAGTAAAAATATAGAAATTCAACTGACGATAGAGCAGTAGTTCTGACTGGCCTCACGATCCCCTGAACCATTCTAATGTTCACCAAGCCACTGCATCATATATTTCCCTTACCTAGCATATTGCAAACAAAGCAAAACAAAGCTAAAGGTACCGAGTGGGGGTTCCATCCAATTCCAAGTCCAGGATCCTACTTCCAGCTTGGTTTCCAAATCTCGTGGCTCAGGAATGTCCGTTGTCACGTATGCGTCATTGAACCAAAGAGCCGTAGTCAAATCAAAGACCATGGGGAGTGCACCAAAGGCACCAATCATACCAAGAGAAATTCCAATTAGATAGGGCACCGTCTCAATGTTCAAAGTACCCCTATTGGTTTTGGCAATTTCTTCATATTGGACGCAGGCATCCGCATAACTAAGATTGTCCACGGCCATGATATGTCTCCTCAAGACTTCGCATCCAGCTTCGTGATGTCCCAAGGCGGCAATGGTAGTGAGGGTGGTATTGTCCATTTGACTCAACCCAGTGGCCATGGATTTGGCCATATCCATGGAAGGAGGAATCAATGCGCTGGGATCTTCCTTTTCTTGTTCTTCCTTGCGGTATGTTACAGAGTAGTGACGTTGTGTGGTAGTGGTAGTGGTAGTCGTGGTCTTCGTCGTCGTCGTCATCATCATCATCATCTTGCTATCATTTCCGAGTGATGAAAATGACGAAAGCGCCCCAACTTGATGAGAACGAAGAAGATACCTGATTGCGCCTCCTGCATGAGTGCAATAAGTGCGAGATGCAAAGCTTCGCAAGGACATTTTGTTGATGATGCTGTTGCTGTTTTTGACTTCAGAGCGGACACGGCTTCCCTCTTTGATTCTAACAATAACTTCGGGTAGAGAGAGAAAGAGATGTGAATAATACCACCGATATTATGTCTCTCAGTATACGGTAGATGATCTCCGCAAATAACAGAGGATGATGATCGCGATGCAGATGATGAAATGGTCGAAACCTACCTGATGTGCGTACTTTGTACGTAACCGGCATCCAAGAGAACCCGGAGGATCGCCAAAGGA